TAAAATTAATCGCTACTAACTTATCCGCGTAACGTATATAGGGGGCCCTTAGATCCCTACCTATGCCGATATCTATTACCTTTTAGTGTGGAGTAACCGACGACGTAGTAGTCGATATTAAAGGCGTAGCCGTAGTTAAAGCAGGAGGCTCTAGTATAGCTGGCTACGGGGCTAACTGTCTAGCGGACTACGAGGTCGACGCTATAACCACGATCTTAATCCTCTTAGAGGACCGCGTTATACTCGTAGGAGTAGCGGCGCGTTTATTACTATTTCCTAGGAAGGTATAGTAACTACGCCCCACCGCGCGGTTAGCTAATATTATGGATTAGAGATATATGGAAGCACTTATAAGATAGTAGTTGATTAATAGAAGACTATAAGTCGTTAGTTCGCGATATCTTAGATAGGGCAGAACTTACTAAGAAAGGGCAGCACGATCGAAAGAATTAAGTATAAAGGAGGAAAAAAAGAATAGGAAGAGGAATAACGACAGGATTACGAAATATCCCGCTAATAGCAGCTATATAGGCCCCTATTTTTAGTATAAAGAAGGAAGCTACGAATCCACGGAAGGAGTAATAATAGGCTCTATGTGATACTAGCTTAGGGAGTCTTTATAGACGGATTAAAGGGATGACCCAGGAGGATAAAGGGGCGAATTCGAAAGCCCGGGAAGGAACCTGTCTAAATCCTATTAGGGTCCCGGATAGGATATTAGCTTGTTAGTCTTAGGTTAAGGATAGGGTGGCTTTTATTGGTGGTTTTTAGTTGATAGGTTAAAGGGAGAGAGTACGTACCCGGGTTAGAGCCACGGCTAAGAAGGCTCTATATAGGAACCCGTCGGAGGCCTATCGGGGTCCCGTCGTAGAAGGCTCTAGTTCGGGGTATCGGGGTTTAGGGGACGGACTCGGAGACTAGGTTTTCGGAGGAGCCGAGAGGCCGGCACGGAAGGGCGCTCCTAAGGACAGGAGCATCCGGGGGAGGTCGTTATATCAGGTGCCTGCAGCAGTGGTCATAATAGGTCCCTAGTGTGAACCTATAGGGGTCTAGGCGTGCCTAGTCTAAGACCCCTCGAGGCATAAATAAAGTAGTTAGCATACTCGTAAATAAAATAGTCCCTTAAAGTAAATAAGGCAGCCCTCGAGGAAGTAAATAAAGTAGTCCTCGAGGAGTAACGGAGTATAGTCTTAAGGAGCGGAGGAGCCTCCCCTTAGAAGAGGGAGGCTAGCGATTAATCTGATTCTTTAGCTACCCCTACACTTTCCTATCGTGATCCTATTATGATTATACCTGGTTCCTTGCTTATCCCTACCTTTTCGCTCTTTGCGATTACCCATTTAACATTAAATTTTATTAGTGTTCCTATACACTATATAAGGAATCCTAACTAAATAGACATATATTAATTATAAATTAACAGATATAGATATAGCTATAAAATAAGTACTAGAAATAACTTCGAACTCTATACTATATATCTGTATTATCTATATAGTACTATATATGCTAGTTTCCATAATATAACTAAAAGTAGACTTCCCCTACTAAATCTTTATATTGGCTTATACGTATTACTTAATAACTTCTCGAATACTAAATACTTTTTTATAAGGGTTCTATAGTAGTATCTATAAGCTTTAGGCTATTTTCGAATATTTAAGGTATATTTTTCACGAGTAATACTAATCTCTTATGAATGTTCTTAGGTATATTCTACGTTACTAAGAAAATATATACTAAAATAAATAAATAATTAAGTCCTCACTTCTAAGCCATAGTATAGCTCTTTCATAAGGCCTATATAAAAGCTATTGGCAGAATATTCGTACTTGATTTGTACTTTATATAGGGTTTTAATTTTATAATACTTGGTATTTTATTAAATCAAATAGCAGGGGTCTAAAAAGCACTGTTTTGGTGTAAAGTTATGTCCTAAAAGGGGGTATATATCGCACCTTAAAATAGTACTTGTATGATTAACTTAATAGAGCAGAAATCTTATATACATATATTATATTAAGTTATATCTGTATAAGTCTCTTATACCCTTAATTTAGGCGGTGAAGACTCTGTTATAGCTACTATATTATTTGGATCCTATCCGGTCTTTTCCGGTATCCTCTCTTATTATATCCGGATACCCGAGGTCCCTAAGATCCGAAGCCCTTAGTTAGGTATAGATCCCCTAGGGACTATATTGTGGTCCGTGTGCCTATACGATACACCCCTTTAGTTAAGATGGGTCTTTTAGATTAACTAACTAATTAAAGGCTTCGGTTTAAACTAAAAGCTCTTAACTTTTCTATTATAAAATTAATAGTTAAGGGAAAACGCCCTTATGAAAGGGATCTAAATCCGCCATATTTAACCGTTTAATTTAGTTCTATCTTAATCGGTTCCTCGATCCTAATTAGCTAGATTGGCTTAATCGGATCTATATCTATTAGATCTGCTAGACTCTTAAGGGCCTTCGCTATCGCTATGGCCACGGTTTTAGCGCCTTTGATCTCTTCGTATAGTTATTTTAACTACTTAATATAATCCTTTTAATCCGTTAAATTAAGCTATTATTATAGTCTTTTAATCCCTGCCTCCGGTAATACCTTTATTAAGCCGTCCGCGATTATATCCTTCGTATTAACGTATATAACCTTAAAAAGACCTTACTATACTAACTGGTATACTTACTAGTTATACATATCGACATACCGTAGCCTTATTTATAGGCGTTATACCTTCTTATTAATGAGATTAATAGTCTATTAATTATCGTAATATAGCTATAGTTATTATTAATCTAACCGGAGCTTTAGATCCCTTAATATCCGACTAATAAGGCCCCGTTCGCGAAAGCTCATAAGATAGGAGCTTCTTTAGGAGGTTTTTATAAAAGTTACAAATAGAGCCAAGGCGCTATCTTAACGCTAGTCCGTGCCCTCGATGTATCTTTTTATGTAAAAAATGAATTATCCCTCGGAGGAATATTAATCCGAATCCGTAGAATACCGGGTATAGTCACTTAAATGAAAAAACACACTTATTTTGCTGTAATTGAATATCAGAACGACTACTATTTTCATCGCCATATCGACCCTAGGTTATATTAGTATAGAATAGATCATAGAAGGCTCCCTTAATAATATACCAGATCCGTGGGATATCGATATATCGCCCTCGTCGTCGTTAGGAATAGCTTTAATATCAGCCTCGTCAGCCACGGCGCGGCTAACTACGGAGCCTATCTTATGAGTTTTTTACGTTATTACCACCTTTTGGATGCTAATAAGAGATTATGTGTAATTCTTCCTATCTTATGAGTTTTCCTCCTATCGTGGCCCCCTGCTTAGCGTAGTACCTGGATGACAGGGGGATGACAGAGGGATGCATAAAAAATGCAGTTACACTGAAAATATCATATAAAAGGGGTCCTTATGCCATCGGTGGGTCATGAGTTATGCATTTTTCCGCCACGATAGGAGGATTTCCCACGTTATGAGCCTTCGCGAACGGGGCCTAAATAACGTCTTTTTAGCGGCCTTTATAAGAGCGAGTAGCTCCGACTCTATTAACGATATCGTGACTATTAGTTACTTACCCGCCTTCTAGTTAATAATACCGCCGAAGAGCTTTATCGTGTATCCTTAGGAGCTTTTACGGTCTAGATTATCCCTAAAGGACGCGTTACTTACGGTTAGGAAGAGTCTATCCCACCTAAGGCTATATAGTGGTATCTTATATAGTATAGGAATAGTAGTACTTACTAAGCCCTTTTAAGGTGGTTAGAGGGGGGGTTAACGTTATATTAGGAAAGCTTCGAATAGGCGAACGCGATATCGGGTCTTATTACGATAGCGGTATATAGAATTAAACCGATTATACCATAATACTAGCGGACCTTAGGAATTAACGCGCGGGTAGTATCACGGGGTATTAACGGCTTTATAGAGAATAGGACTTTTAATAGTTTTCAGTAAAGAATATCTACGTAGTATTTAACCGCGATCTTCTCCACGTAGGAGGATTATAATAGGTATATCTACGTATAGCTTTATCCCTTAGGACCTTAATTCCTAGGAACTAACGGATTTCGTCGCCTCCTGATAACCTATAGCTTCGCTTAAGGGTAGCCTTAAGGTTATTAGCGTTAGTTTTACGATCTTTATAGTAGATAAGTCCGATATCGTTAACGTAGAAGAATATAATTAAATTATCGCGGATTATAATATAGGGGTTATTAGGGATAGCCGTGAATCCTATCTTTTATAATATACCGCTGAATTCCTTTTACTATAGTAATGGCGATACCCTTAAACCGAAGAGGGCTTTCCATAGTAGCAGGGCCTTACTTAGTATTTCGTAGCCTTACGGTATTTTTATAAATACTTCCTCTTTAAGGCTAGTATTAATAAACACGTTAATAGCGTTAAACTACCTTATTTCGAGGTTAAATTAGGTAACCATAGCTATTAGTATATAGAAGAACCGCGAGGCTAATATAGCAGTATAGTGATTTTTAGTTTCTAACCGTTTTTACTAATCCCCTTATACTATAAGGCGTGCCTTTTATTTAAGGAGGGTATCCTCTTTATTAAACCTATAGGTATATACCTATCTATAAGCGAGAATTTATTACTTAGCCTAATTACTACCTACCTCTTACTAATAGCCTATTTATCGGTAGCTTTTAAGGTATTCCCCCTTTAAGGTATTCCCCCTTAGCCTATAACCACCGCTCCCGTAACAGGTAAAGGCGTATATTATAGTAGTAGTTTTATAGAGGCGGGAAATCCTCGCAGGTTAGGCGTAATAGCGGCTAGGAGGCGTTAAAGGGAGAGGAATCTATAATGCCGATATCGCTATTATTAATAGCTTATATCCTTATACGTATAGGGTTATAAGTCCTTTTAGCGTTGAAGAATGCCTTCTAGGTATTATCGACTTATTAACCTCCCTTCGCTTAGTACGTCCCTGCGAGTTCGGCTTCAACGCCAGCCACTATGTCCACGCAGAAGGCGGGTCCGATATAAGGCGGGTTAGCCGCGGTGATAATAAGCCGTGCAGGTGAAAGCGCAGTTACAGAAGTGCGATTATAAGGCGCCGGCGCTCGAATCGAAAGCCTCGGGTGCTGCTGCCATTTGAAAGCGCTCTCTATCGCCACAGCTGCTAAGTGGCATTAAGGGGACAAAGCCGCACGAACGGCCTTACTAGATCGCCAGCTAACAGACTGCCCGGTCCATCAAGTAGACCACACAGGCCGTCCTCGGCGAGACAAAGTCATTGTCAGGACGGCGGTCATTTTGGGGAAATTGACGCCAAGTTGCGGTTCTCGCCTCTTGGCGACCACCACCGCCCCGTCCGAGTGATCTGAAGCCTCTCACCGACAACGACACCGCGTCTCTTGGATCAGCCCAGTGCTACACGCTGGCGGAGATGACGATGCCTGCCAACGAAAAGAGATGAATGGTCTGCGGTTACTCCCACCGCTTGTCGATGCCTCAGTATGGTATCGGCATCTCCAAGGCATGCAGCAGCCTGACACGGAGCCAGAGACGGCCGCGGACGATTGTGGCCGTCGCCTGCTTTCAGCCCAGACGCCCCCCGGCTTTGGGTCTGCTTATATGTCGCAAACCGGCCGGCGACCGCGTCTATTTCAGATGTCACCTCTGACGACGGTCAACCGTCGCCCAGATCCTGGCCCTGGGCGTTGTCCAATCACCAATGGCGTGACTGCGAGGCGCGTTGGGTGGCAGGCTGAGCCGTGCCTCCATGCAGTTGCAGCCTGGTGCACACCAACACTGCTTAACCCACGCTCACCCATATCTTTCCGCTCCGTCGATCATTGAAACTCGAGCCGAATTATTATGGAAGGACTCGGAGTCGCGGCTAACGTTATCGCCGTCGTCGACCTCTCCGTAAAGGTTGCGACGCTGTGCCTGCAGTACTCCAGAGAGGTTGCCGGCGCCCGAGCTGATATCCAGCGTCTCCACACCTAGGTCGAACACCTGGGCACCGCGCTGCGGGCCGCCCAGCACCTACTGGAAGGGAACAACGGCCAGCCGCTCTCGACGTCCCGGGGGCTGGTCGGCTCCTTCCGCGACTGCATCGCCGAGCTCAAGCGACTCGAGAAGAAGCTGGGCCCGAACACCGCCCGTACCGCGATACGTCGATTCGGCTTTCGCGCCCTCAGGTGGCCGTTCAGCAGCAAAGAGGTCGACCAGCTCCTCGCCAGTCTTGAGCGCCACGAAAGGACCATCCTGCTCGGGCTCCAGATCGACCAGACGTGCGTACACCGGCGGGACCCGGCCGCCGCCGAGGCTGACTTGTTGCCAGGGCCATACTCGTCGGCATCCAGGAGGGGGTCAGACGACTCGGGCTCCAGCCGACCGAAGATGCCTCGATCTCCCGCAATCCCCATTGCATGGTGCCGTTCCCTCCCGACCCAGACTTTGTCCACCGTCCTGCGATCGAGGAATGGATGCAGGCCCAATACAGCCAGACCGGTCGGCGACTTGCCTTGGTCGGAATGGGCGGCTTTGGGTACGTCATGCATGCTGGTCCTCCGGGTCGGCACTGAAGAGTAGTAGGAAATCCCAGCTAGCCATCGAGTTCGCCCACCGCGTCCATGCGGACAACCCCGGCACTAGCGTGTTCTGGGTGTACGGCAGCGCCAGGGCCACGTTCGAGGAGTCCTACCGGGCTCTTGCAGACGTTCTCGCGTTACCTCGCCGGCACGAGCCAGAGGTCGACGTGCTAGCACTCGTACGCGACTGGCTGCAGAGGGACGATATCAGCCCGTGGTTCATGGTCGTCGACAACGCAGACGACACCGGCGTGTTCTTCCTCGACAACGGACACGACGCCCCGTAAATCCCGCTAGCATCGTACTTGCCCAAATCAGCCAAAGGTAAGATCCTGGTCACCTCACGGAGCCTTGACGTAGCAGAAAAGCTAGTTGGTAACAGCCGCGCAGTACTGCGAGTCCCCGTCATGGGAGAGGAACAGGCGCTTAAACTTTTTGCGGAAGAGATTAGAAGGCAAGCCTGACGAAGCCGCCGCGATGAATCTTGCCCGCGCACTTGATTTCATCCCGCTCGCGGTGAACCAGGCAGCAGTATATATCAACCGACGCAGCCCACGAGTGACTACCGAGTCGTATCTCGAGGAGTTTCTCAGGAGTGAAAAGCGGAAAGACAGCCTTTTCCGCAGTGATAAGGGAGATCTCGGGGGGATGGCGTAGGTAGTAGACACGCCTGGTGGCCGCGTAAGGCCGTGGGTTCGAATTCCACTCCCCTTAATCGTGCGCGAATTTTTTCGCGCGCGACCTACCCGGAGCTCCTGCACGTCACAGGGGTCCCCGCACGTTCGGGGAGATATTTATTAGCTTACGCGCTAATAAGTGGAACCACACTGCCTCCTTCGGTACGTACCCCCTTTAGGTAGGGGAGGGTACGTACCTATCACGCGGAATTAAGCGCACCTACCTTAAATATATACTATACCTACGATTAAGCCTTAGAGCCTAGGGAATACTAGGGAGCGCGTACCACTACTTAAGGATAAGTCCCGGACTAATAACTCTAGTTCGCCTATTCTTACTTTTATATATAGGTTACATAAATAACTAAATACTCGTTATAGGCTTAGTCTCTTTAATAGACTCGTGCTATAGCTTTAGGGCTATATATATATATATTAAAAAAAAGGGAGATCTTAGCCGTTATAATAGAGTATCTATACTATACTAAAGCTGGCCCACTTTATTATTCGGCACTTCTTAGCAGCCTAGCGTTCGTAGTAGTACTACCGCCCGGTCCTGTTTTTTAGGATTTTACAGTGTTTTTCGGTTAACTTCCCTCCATAGTATATACCTATATATGCTATAAACTTACGGTACTTTTAAATTATATTGCCTCTACGCTAAATAGCATTTCCCTTTATTAAGGGCGCGCCGTGCGAATCTTATATATATTTAATAACTAAACTCTGCTACTATATACTATACCCTTCTTACCACCCTTCGAATCAAAAACTAGAATAAAAAATAGAATACAAAATAGAATAAGGAATAGAATAAAAATAGATAGAAAATACGGAATATATTATTATTATTAATACTAATAATAATTATACTCCACTAGTATATCTAATTTATAAGAGCCTAATATAGACTATACGGTCCTTCTTAAGTGACTATAAGGAATATATTACAAAGTAGTATAAGTAATATAATAGAAAACTAGAATATACTATTAGTAGAATAAAGTCTAGAATACTAATAACGACTATTAAAAGTATTAGAAGAGTATTAATATAAAGTATAATAAAGCAAGTAGATAAGATAAAGATAATATATAAGATAAAGATAATATATAAGATAAAGATAATATATAAGATAAAGATAATATATAAGATAAAGATAATAGATACGATAAAGATAAAGAGAAGTAATACTTTCTTAAGTATATAAAGAAATTATACTTTGAATTATAAAGATACTATACTAAATAGGTCGTCTATAAGGTTTACGCTTAGACTATACTACTATATACTACGCTGATTATACTACTCCTAATAGGATAGAAAATATAATATAAAATAGATATAAAATCTTACTATCTTAGGAAAATTATAATAGAACTTTAATAAAGATAATTTAAAAAGAGATTAGATACATATATATATTAGTAAAAAGTAGTTATAGAGAAAATACTACTCTTATAATAATCACGATTTCGACACGCTTATTAACCACGGCCGCGTAATAGGAGCAAAATCGATAAAACCACCGAGATAGAGATTATAACTACCGCCTCCCTCCCGGGATACTATTATAGCGGCACTATACTACCGGCGCTATAGTATAGCCGGAAAAGACGTAGGATGGTATTATTCCGACCTCGACTATATAGAATTCGTAACGGACCCACTTTTCGTAATATATACGCTCCCCCCCCCCTAAGGCAGGATATAGCGCGGAACTAGTATAAGACTAAAAATGGGCCACCGCGCCCCCCGGAACCGAGAGTAGCTAAGATTAAGGTAGAAATTTAGGCCTTACTGGCTAATAGAAATACGATTAAGTAGGTTATAAAGCTAGTAAAGAAATTAATCACGATATATAGTACCCGTATTAATACTAGCACGCTACCGCTAGTATACCTAAACATATCCGTCCGCTATATTATCCGAGAGGAACTACGAAAAGGAATAAGCGGTATAAAAATGACCTAGGCTAATATTATAGCCTAAACTCCCGCGGCAGTACCGCCACGGGACCCCGCCCCCCTTAAAGTAATCCCTGCTAAGTATTACCGGGAACTAGTCGTCCGCTAAGGAACCCTCCCTGAAGACTAGTATAACCGCGCAGATCGGTTATTGGGGTCAGGATGACTAATTAGGTCGGCCGCTCGTTTTCTGACTACTTAAGTTAGGGGACTGAACCGGTTAATCGGGTTAAAAGGGATGCACGTGACCGATCCGGATTATATAAGGACCGTTTCATCCGATCTTCCTGTATCTAGATTTAGATCTATTATCTATTATAATCCATATTATCTAGACGATCCAGTTTTATGCTATTACGGCCCTGCTTAGTTATAATATAGTGCTCGGAGGCGGATTCCTTCGGTATTCTGGAAGCTCTTAATCTAATCAGGGTAACTAGGGTGCTTAAGAGCAGTTCCGGCCGGCTTAAACGGACTATTCGTTAATTATAGTCGCCGTCGTTAACGTGTTAGACTATCTAGAACGTGAAGACCGTGCTTGTTGTGATACCTATTATCTAGGGGCTATACCGACTAGATAGATCGTTCTTCTAACCTTTGTCTAACCTTCTTTAAGACCTTAAACCGATATTATCACCCGTTATTATATCGCTGGGATATTCTTCTTCTTAATCTAATACTATTTTAACTACGATGTACGATATAGATTCGACCGACTAGAGACTCGGCCAGGGCGTTATATACCTAAAAGCTACTACGGATTCGGCCTCTTTTTATTAAGGCATAGCGTGCCTAAAAACCGCGATACTGTTTTTATTATTTGGATTTTATGGCTTCGTCTTCTGCCTCGGGCTAGGACTTTTCAGATAAAGCGTTGTCAAAATCGTTACAAAATAGGTCAAAATTTAATTAAGGCAATTATCTATAATTATAACTGTCCAAGACCGTCAGGGAAATGCTACTACCGTATTTTATATAGTGTAGATTCTGTAAGCGTTTATCCGGATTATACGCTTAGTAATCCGGCCTATTATATAACCAAAAAGACGGTAGTCTATTCGATATACCCCCTAATCGCCCTAAACGTTAGTTAGGCGATTAAAGCTATTCGTAATCGGCAGATAAACCAGCTATATAATCTATTCGCTATAGCCGCCCTTAAATTCATCCTCTAGGTCCTCTAAATATTCCATCCGGACTTCCTCTAGCTATTTCTGCTATGACCGTTCCCGTATATCTATCACGCCCACCTAGGACCTGAATATCTTAAATTTCTCGCTGCATAACGCCTTCGTTAATCCGTCTACTATTATTTCCGCGCTCGTAATATACGTTATAAGTATTTACCCTTATTCCTTTACTTAACGTAATTAGTGGCCGTGGATATCGACGTGGCGAAGGCGCGTTATTAATATACTAATCTCTTAATTCACTAATCGAATCGTTTAGTTATTATCGTATACGATCCTTAATTCCGGATCGTTAAATTCCACTCCTATACTAAGTAATAGGCGTTATATAAAGATACCCTCTTTTATACCTTATACTAATACTAATAGCTCTACTTCTATTATTAACGTTATAACTATATCCTGCTTATTAGGGCACTACGCGATTATACCGCTAAATAAGCGTGTCACGTATGCTTAACTACTCTTTCGATTAAGGGTATTATCGGTAAATAAGGCGTTAGTATAGATTTTAATAGTATCGCTACCCCCTAATTCTAATATAAATAATTAGCTATTAATTAGATAAAGGATTAGATAATCGGCGGCCTTATAATAAATAGGCCCTGGATTAATGTTAAACCGGTATAGCCTAGATACTATAAACACGATATTAGGCCGCGATATTACTGCTTTATATAGCATAGATCCTATCTTCCGTTAATAGCTTTTAACGTGTATCGAGGTCTCTAAATAGGGTAGTAGTTCTACAATCTTAATTAGGTGCGTTAGGCGATAGTTACTGCTATGCTTACGATTACTATTTAGCTTTAATAGGCGTTCTAACTTAGTAACGTAGTCGCGTTATAATAGCTAGATTTTACGGGCGACGTGGTCGCGAAAAACCTTAATACTAAGGAACCACTATAGACGATCGTTACCTTATAGGTTATAGTGGCGTTATAGGTTATTAATAGCCTGCTTTATCTACGCCTTATATTATATACTATAAGTAATAACGATATCGTCGACGTAAAACAATAGGATTAAACCACGTCGTAGAAAATAACACGGTTCTTATAGCACTATCTAGAATCCGTCCGCTAAAAGGATAGCTAAAAAGTGCTTTTACTATAATAGCGGGGACTCCTTAAGTCTATATAACGCCTTTTTCAGGTATACATAACTCTTAGGGGCTAGAAAGCCTAGCGGCGGGTATATAAAGATATCGTGGGGGAGGGGCGTGTGTATAAACGCGTTTATAACGTTCAATTATAATAGCGTAAGGTTAAATCGGGCGGCGATAGCTATTAACGCGCGGAATAACTATCCGGCTAGCGTTACTGCATATATCTCTTTAAACAAGGATTAATACTACTAATCTCCTCGTACTATAAGCCTTACCTTGTATTTATATAGACATCTATACTTATCGAACTTATATATTATTACCTATATCGAATTAAGAACCTAATATCTATCTGCTACGGACGCCGGTACCCGTATCTATATTCCTATCTCATCGTGGCTCTATAGGTGGTCTTCTTATACCTGTCGGAATAGGTGGTCGTAAGGGTAAAAGGGTATATCGCGAGGGTTCTTCAGAGGAGGAGGGAGGTCTTTACGGTAGATCTTTACGGCCGCTAGGGTAACCGCCGGAGTTATATTTCCCGAGATAGCCTCCTAGGTTATACTTCCGGTGGTTACCGCCGGGGCCGTGGATTCGTAGGGTATTATTAAGTGTCGCTATAGCGCTATAAGCGTGGACCTTTTTAACCGTAATTTAGGTAGCGGAGTTCTATTTAATATATATATATTAGGGGCGTAGCGGCCAGTATTAAACGCAGTAACCTAATAGTC